TGGATGACAAGGACAAGGAGGAGAGCGCGTGTGACATACAGACGGGTGAAGTGAATGACGCGAGAGCGAAGGGCGTGACAGGGCAGGGTAATTCATGGCGTGATGGGCCTTAAATACTGAAAATTCTGCCGGTATTTTTGAATACATTAGGCGGAAGAATTCCACGAATGGGTCGTTCTTGGTGGACTCCACAATTGATGCGTGCCCGGGGGTCTGCTCCGGAACTTTTTAAAAACACTCAGCTTACCGCGAGGCCCCAACCCAAGAGTCCCTTGGCGTTTGGAAGAAATACATAGAGAGCGCATTTGCTCAGCTTGATAGAACATGACAGAATCACTTCTAGAAGAGATCCTCGTGGTGCGCCACTTTTCAAATGATGATTTTTTTTCCTAGAGCGGAAGGTACAGTACTAGGATGGAAATGACAGGATCATTCCCTACAACTGTTAGACGAGTCTCCACGAAACACACGGAACATAATGTAGAACAAACAATTGTTAAGTTACTGTTGACATTTTGTTCCATTGATTCCGGGTTATGGTATATAAAAATTATAATTGCGTATCCACGGTTTACGTTATTAACAAAATCCAAGTACATATTATTATAATTAACTATTATAATATTAATATATTGTTTTTTAATTTTTTTTATTTAATAATTTTTTTATATATTTTTTATTTGTTACAAAACAGTATTCACAGATGTCGCTCGCTTACTTTAACGAGTGTGAACAAATCAGTAAGTAGTACATGAACAAGTCAAACAGTTTTAGAATCAGACATTGATTCGGTTACATTCGAGTAAGGTCAGAGTGTCATCATGACGATAAGAGACAGTAGACCGAATTCCAAATGATTGATTTAGGGCGGATTCGACCAAACTTAAATTTAAACTCGAGTAACTATACGAGGAATAACCTATTCCATGATTTTAATCTCGAGTAAATTCATAGTCGTTTTTCCACGTATACTTGCGCTAGGAATAACAATACGCGAATAGCAGAGTGAATGGTGAACAAAAATAAAATCCGGCAAATAAATGTTGTTGTTCAACGGCATAGTGTAAGAGCATACAAATCGTCAACTCGATTTTGCCGTATTTTAGTGTGAAAAAGTAGCTGTTGTGTAAGATATCCAGCTGTCAAACGTATTATTTTTATTTCTTGTTTGTTTGAGGGAATTGTCAAGTTTTGTCGTGTGGTTTTATCTTTTTTCGTTTAAACGTTGCATTCAGACTATTAATAATCATTTAGTGCATTGCGTTGACTTGAAATTAAAACAGAATAAATATTTATGAAATGACAGAAATCAGATGTTGGACTGACAGACGCCATTACTTTATTCTAGGAATAGCTCCGTTATTCCGTGCGAAACGGCGGTATAGTAACAATTCCCGAATAGGCCCACTATTCTTAGAATTGTAGTTGGTAAAACGTAAAATTGATTTACTCTCGATTAACTGACGAGTTATTCTAAGAATAAGATTTACTCTTGTTTGGTCGAATCGACCCTTAATGAATTAATGTCGGAGCCCGACAAGGACACAGCCCGCCTTGTGTAACTCAGTGTCAGAGGGAGTCCGGGGTGCCGGCCGCGGCTATTTTGATATCTTGTTTGTGGACGGATATAATAATCTTTATTGTACACACAGCTAATAAAATATAATAATTGTGAAAATTTATAAAATGGCGAGCTTAACTCAACAATTGAGTTATCTACCAGCTAACCGTTTTTAAAGAGGGTGAGCTTTACATAGGTGGGTAGAAAAGTACAATCTAATCAATTTACTTATTGATACAGTACACAATAACAATAATAGTAACAATAATAAATATAAACACTAATATATTATAATATATAAGACTATATACATACACAATTACACACATAAAAACATAAACATATACATACACGTACATATATAATGAAAAACATAAAATAAATACATATAAGTAATACTAAATCGATAGATAGAGCTCATTTAATGCCTTCTTGAATACTTCAAGTGAGGGGCTTGCACGGATTGAGTGCGGAGCCCTGCCATGACTTACGTGAGTGTGGTGTTCGCTCACACGGCCCGCACACACATAGACACCTTCAACCCCTACAATCCCGCTTTTGCAGGTTAGCCGTCGGGGCTCCATGGTTCGTGAGGAACGTCAACCTACACGACAACCTGGGCCTCGAATCAATCCGGAAATACATGAAGTCAGCGTCGGAACAGTACTTCGATAAGGCTATGCGTCATGATAATCGCCTTATCGTTGCCGCCGCTGATTACTCCCCGAATCCTGATCATGCAGGAGCCAGTCACCGTCGACGCACTAGACACGTCCTGACGGATCCATCAGATCCAATAATCTTTGCATTAGACGCCTTCAGCTCTAACACCAGGAGCAGGCTTAGGGACCCCGGTAACCGTACTCGTCGAACTCGACAAAGACCCATCATCCAATCCACCCAAACATCAGCCTGCTGAGTTTCTGGCCGGATCTTCTCAGGGGGTCGCGATTCCGATCCGGTAGTAGATTCATTCGCGAAGCAATTGCTCTTGAGTTGTTAGGTCTCCTTCGGAGGCGCTCGAGCAGTTGTTAGCAAATCCCACCCCTCCTGGCTAAGCACTTGCTCGCCCACTTGTCCTGGTGAAACTGGAAAGGCCTTCGGGAAATCTTTCAATCATAAAAAAAAAATTGAGTGCGGAACTGAGTTCCACAGACGCACACACAGAGTGCACAGTGAACGAACCGCCGTAGCGGTTAGAGGATTGAGAGGGAAAACTAAGGAGAAGGGATCTACTAGTACAAAAGGGTACACCACGGGGAATTTGGTACTCGAAGCGCTCACGTAGGTACTGGGGAACAGCTGGGTTATTGAGGATGTTGAACAGCATGCATAAAACATGTACATCACGGCGACGTCGGATCCGTCGACGCCGGATGGACGTCCAGTTAAGTTGTGATCTGTACTGCGAGACATGATCATATTTACGTAAACCAAAAATAAAGCGTATGCATAGATTTTGTAATCTTTCCAGTTTGTCCCATAGCTCCTCCGCGGCGTTCAAATATATATTATGTCATGGCGCTGGGGTATACCGGACTAAATTCAAGCTGAGGAAACTATTACACTGGTGCCTTTTACCGGGCTGTAGAGCTCTAGACAGCGGCTTCATATTTGTGGTAGGGACGAACCCTGCTCGCAACTGGTAAGGAAGAGGTGACAAAAANACGAAATCGCATCATTCACTTCGTCATAGACTTGTAATTGTCGTTTAATTTTAAATAATAAAGATGTATCATCTGCGAATAATACGACCTCGTGTCGGGACTCAATAAAACTAGGCAAATCGTTTATATATATTAGAAATAAAAAAGGACCCAAAATGGAACCCTGAGGTACACCCATTTTCAACGTGGTGCCTGAAGATCTATTTCCTTTCACATCTACTGTTTGTATCCTTCCTGGGGGATCTTCTCAGGGGGTCGCGATTCCGATCCGGTAGTAGATTCATTCGCGAAGCAATTGCTCTTGAGTTGTTAGGTCTCCTTTGGAGGCGCTCGAGCAGTTGTTAGCAAATCCCACCCCTCCTGGCTAAGCATTTGCTCGCCCACTTGTCCTGGTGAAAATGGAAAGGCCTTCGGGCCATCTTTCAATCATAAAAAAAAAAATTGAGTGCGGAACTGAGTTCCACAGACACACACACAGAGTGCACAGTGAACGAACCGCCGTAGCGGTTAGAGGATTGAGAGGGAAAACCAAGGAGAAGGGATCTACTAGTACAACAGGGTACACTACGGGGAATTTGGTACTCGAAGCGCTCACGTAGGTACTGGGGAACAGCTGGGTTATTGAGGATGTTGAACAGCATGCATAAAACATGTACATCACGGCGACGTCGGATCCGTCGACGCCGGATGGACGTCCAGTTAAGTTGTGATCTGTACTGCGAGACATGATCATATTTACGTAAACCAAAAATAAAGCGTATGCATAGATTTTGTAATCTTTCCAGTTTGTCCCATAGCTCCTCCGCGGCGTTCAAATATATATTATGTCATGGCGGTGGGGTATACCGGACTCAATTCAAGCTGAGGAAACTATTACACTGGTGCCTTTTACCGGGCTGTAGAGCTCTAGACAGCGGCTTCATATTTGTGGTAGGGACGAACCCTGCTCGCAACTGGTAAGGAAGAGGTGACAAAAACGTCTCAAACAAACATTTTAAGCTTATGACTCATTGGCTGGGGCTCTGAGTTGAGGAATCAATCAGTGAGTCACTGAGGACGAGTAAATAGTATAAGTATATGTAGGTACAGTTGAGATGTTAGAGGTCGCGGCTGGCCACCCTTCAGCAACTGGACCCCTGAGATGATTTAATGAATGGATAAAATTGAACACAAAAATTGCTTATGACTTGGATTAACACACATTAACAGTTAGGTTACTTTGTATCATGATAAATGGAATCACTCGGCCCATACTGAGCCTGTTATCTAGGTACTTTATTAAAATCAAAGTGGGCGAAGTCGCGGCGCACGTCTCGTGAATGATACATGTACTTGACCTCAAGGGTATCTCTTGTTTTTCTAAACATCTTTTATGATTCTTAAATACTGATCGGACAAATACAGAAGTTTTAGTCGTGCTCTGTTGCTCAAAACGGTAAGTCATTGTTCTTATTCTCATTGTATTTAGATCTTCGTCAATGCTTGAGGTGGATGCAAAGAATACGCGAAAACTGAGCCCATGACTACAGCGGGAAAACTGCCTTGACAGAGGTTTTAAATGAAATTTTAACATTAACGTCCGCAAACAACTAGGTAGGACTCCAGTTCGTGTCAAGTTCAGAGATGCAGTCAAATAATATTTTCAATTAGCTGCCACTGAGTGGCGCACAGGAACCAGGGGACGCTCCGGTCCCCGCGTGATGACTGACGTGACGCTCACCTTCCCCTCTATAGTACTAAAGACTCTTTTTATTGACCTTATAGATTCCAAGATGAGGGTGCTGTTAGTTTGCCTGGCAAGCTTACTAGTCTGCCTGAAGACGGCTGATTCTCACTCTTTGCCGCAAAAGGATTACGAAACTGATTCCAGCAAACATTACATTACCAATCCACTGAATGACACCAGCGGAAATAATAGCAGCTCGGTCCCCGACACCACAACATTCATTGTGCGTTACGTAACTACGGTTGACAAGAAAGAGTACAAGGGTATATACGCCCACAAGAACGGCAAAGTGAAGAAAATATTGGAAGGCGGCAGGGCCGTCTCTGTTTGGCCTTCGAAGTCGCGCGCCTATTTGGCCCATAAAGACGGTATCTACGTTTACGACAGTGAAACAGAGAAGCTTGAGAAGTACGGCAATCTGAGTGACAGCATCATCGGGATCGTAAAAGAGAACCGCACCGACGACCTGTACATTCTCACGGAAGACCACGTCGTCTACAAGGTCATCGAGGAAGGGACCAAGAAGATCAAGGTCAACGAGGCTGAGCATGCTGAGCAAATAGCGCTGGACTGGGATGACAACTTGTACTACATCGGAGCGAACAATCAACCGTATGTTGTCGCTTCGGACGGTGCGAAGAAGATCGAAGGTCTTCCAGCTTACTCAACCTCAGCGGTAATCTCTAGGGCTCCGATCAAGATAGAGCACGGAGCGTGGTTTATGTCCGGACAACAGCCATACGTCATCTATCCCAACGCGACCAGCGAACCATTCGTGTTCAGCGACCAAGAGAAGTTGGAATATGAGAAAAGAAATCGTGATCTTCAAGTTATTTTCTTACAGATGAGGAATCAAACAGAGAAATAAAGTATTATGTTCTGATTTCACGTGTTATGGAGATAATTAAAATGACTTTTACAGACTGACCGTGTCGGACGCAGTCAGCCCGAGGTTAAGCTGTAAAAGTAATTTTAATTATAGAATTAACGTATTTTTGATTGAAATGAACGAATCTTGTGGAATGTTGTTGTTTTATTTCTTGTTTATCTGGACCAATTTTTTTTTTTTTTTTTTTGTCAGGAGAAAATCGCCGGACTTCCGCCCTCCACTGGGGATAGAGGGCGGAGCATGTCAGAGTCGAACTGACTAAAACCTTCTGTCGCGCAACAACCAACGTCCAAACCTCGCATGAGACAGAACTCATGAAGAGGCAAAGGGGGAAAAGTGAAGCGTTTAGTGCGGAGCACATCTCTCCCATCACCCTCCCCCTCGGGACGCCGGACCGGCGGTCGTCGGCGCCACGACCACCAGTCCTCTCGGTCGGCAGGCTATCCGAAGCCCGCCTAGATGGCGCCGGTTAGAGTGAGCTATCCTACGGAATACCTCGCTGGACCAGAACCAGCGTGGGTCGAGGATAGCCGGCCTTCCATCACTCGGATGCTCTTGCGTAAAACGCGTGCAGAGCAGCTTGCACGTCGTCTTCTTAGGCCCCCCTCGCCGGTCCTCAGACCGACATGTGAGGGGGGACCCGAAACACTTAGAGGGCCAGGGCTTGGACGATATCCGCCTCCCTGGCCCCCGCTCGACGGCGGCGGGATTGTGCGTCTCTCACGCGCCCCGCCGCCTCCTTCTGCGAGATGGTGCACTCGCAGAAGTCAAGCATCGCCTTCCACGACTCGTCGTCGCCGAGCATCGATGCCACAACACTCGGCAACGACAAGTCGTTTCCTACTTTTGCGACGAGGACACGGCGCCACCCCTCCCATGCGGGGCAGGCGACGAGCGTATGCTCTGCCGTGTCCAAGTCGCAATCACAATGGTGGCACTCTGCCGTCGGCTCGGCTCTGATCCGCTGCAGGAACTCACCGAAGCAACCATGCCCAGTGAGCACCTGCGTGAGCCGGAGAGTGAGGCGTCCTCTGTCACGATTCACCCAATCCACAAGGACCGGGCGAATCGCCTCGACGGTCCTACGACCAGCCGAAGGATCAGCCAGCCGTCTGGACCATGACTCCAGCGGACCATATAGAGCATATTGTTACGAGCATAAAGTAGAGCATCCGATGTATGTGGTTGCCATTGTTCGTGATTAACAACACCGACACCAACAACGTCGGGGAAACAGCCTGGGCGCTGCCCACCAGCGGTAGCCTGCGGCTTAACTCTGCCCCTAGCATTGCTGAAATCCATGGGCGACGGTAACTGCTCAACATCAGATGGGCCATATGCTTGTCTGCTTACAAGGGCAATAAAAAAAACCACGAGGGTCCAATAAAAGTCTACTTTAGACCTGGGATCACATTAGAAAAAGTAAATCCTATAGCTCTGAAGAAGTACTTAGAGAGCGCATTTGCTCAGCTTGATAAAACGTGACAGAATTACTTCTAGAAGAGATCGTCGTGGTGCGCTCCTTTTCAAATGATGAACCATTTTCCTAGGCCTAGATACAGCGCTAGGACGGAAGTGACAGAGTCATCCCCTCCAAGTGTTAGAAGAGTCCCAACAGAACACACGGAACAATTTTTTTATTGCCCTTGTAGGCAGACGAGCTTACGGCCCACCTGATGGTGGGTGTTTACCGTCGCCCATGGACTTCAGAAATGCTAGAAGTAGCGCCAAGCCGCTGTCTACCGTTAAGTACTCTTTACAAGCCTCGTTTGAAGAAGGACATGTCCTAGTGCTCGGGAAACGCCGTGGAGGGGAGCTTCATCCAAAGGCGAATGGTATGTGGCAAAAGAGCTTCTGTATGGAGTAGTAGTATTAGTAGTAGTAGTAGTAGAAATTACTCTGAAGTTGGACACCGCTCGAAATGTCGTAGTATCTTGATTCTCTCGGAAGGTTGCAGGGATACTCCTTGGAATTGTGGCGCCATGACAAAGGGGTCCTTCTTTGCAGTGAACGCGCAAACTTGTGTCTTCAAAGAGTTCACCACTCTGATGGCCGATATATCGCGCATCCCCCGTGCTGCCATCCGCATGGCAATGCATGCTATCAATAGACAGCATATCATTGATATACAGGATGAAAAGTGTGGAGAAGAGCACCGAACCTTGTGGAACGCCTGCACTAAGCGCCCCTGCACTCTTACACCCGACGTCCGATCTCCGTCCGTGGTCAGAACCCGGTCAGAGAAGGAGGGTTCCCGCGGTCAACACTACAATCAGACATGCGCGCCACCCCGAGGACGCCCGACCGACGGATCGTCGAGGCGATAGTCGACTACCAATGACGTCGGTCTCCGCGCGATGCCGCGGGTGTCCGGGATACCCTGCTGGGCCAGAACCAGCCTGACAGGTCGGAACGCGATACACCACCGACCGGGTTGCTCTTCCACAGTAGGTTCGGCAACGACAGCGAGGACGACAGTGCGGACCGCATCGCAGTCCGCAGCCGCCGATGTGTCGTCCCGTCCTCCTGGTGCCAGAGCGCTAGAGTGACGATAGCGTGCGGCGCAGCCTCAACCCCCTTAGGTCGCCTCGTGACCATCACCAGGAGTAGGCTGCCTCCTCATAGGGGCCAGAGCTGGACAATCGCCATCCTCCGGCCCCCGGCTTAGTAGCGGTGGCACGGCGCCGAGAGGGAAGAAGAGCTCTCCCTTTCCCATTCCACCTCCTCCTTCTGCGTGATGGTGAACAGACCGATAATTTCCAAGGCTTATTGTTGTTACTAATTATCAGCCTGGCGCAAGGTCAAGGTAAAAACGTAGTGGATATATACTCTTTGCTAATTACGATCGTTTTTACTTATCAAAACTTAAGTAAGTCGCTCAATAAATGTCGTTGAAACCACACGCAGTTTTTCTTTACGCCTTACCTTTCTTACGCTTTAAAGATAAATTACTTATAAATAATTTATAAATATTACAATTTTATTCCGTTTTCTGGTTGGACGGTACTATGGATGAATTTTTGAACGTTTTAAAAGACACCGCTGCGCTCTTAAACAAAACTCAAATTAATTTAACGAAATGTTGCACATTTTTTAAAAGAAGAACCTCATAGGTACTTCAAAAATCTCTAACCATGAACGTTCTATGTAAATTCGAAGTACCCATTACAATAAAACGGCAATTTCATACTTTAACCGCTATTATTAACAGAAGTCGCTTGCGTTGATTAAAGAATGTGAACAAATCAGTACATGAACAAGTCAAACAGTTTTAGAAACGGATATTGTTTTGGTTACACTTGAGTAAGGTCAGAGGGCATCATGATGATAAGACATCGTAAACCGAATTCCAAATCATTGATAATGAATTATTGTCGGGGCCGACAAGGGCAAAGCCCGCCCCGGGGTGCCGGCTGCGGCTATTTTGTTATCTTCTTTGTAGAAGGATATACACACTTATGTCTTGTATCTGGATGTAGGGCTCTAGGCAACGGCTTAACGCTTATGGTGGGGACGAACCCTGCTGGCAACTGGTAAGGAACAGATAACAAAAGCGTCTGAAACAATACCTCACCGGTCATAATTTCACGCTTGTGACCCAGCGACTGGGGCTCTGAGTTGAAGAATCAGTCAGTGAGCCAGTGAGCACTAGTAAATATATTAGTATATTATATGTATGTGAGGTACGAGAGGTCGCGGCCGGCCGCCCTCCGCCACTTAACACGCATCGGCAATCGGACCACTGAGAGGTTTTGATGGACGGATGAAGTTTAACACAAAGATAGCTTATGAGTTTGATTAACATACATTAACTCGTTTCTGCCAATCGACAACAGATGGCGTTACTCTTACCGGCGTAACAGTATATAGATATGTAAGTACAGATGAGGTTTGAGAGGCCGCTCTCCTGCAACTGGACCCCTGAGATTATTTTTATTGAACGGATGAAATTTAACACAAAGATAGCTTATGAGTTTGATTAACATACATTAACTCGTTTCTGCCAATCGACGACAGATGGCGTTACTCTTACCGGCGTAATAGTATACATAATATGTAAGTACAGATGAGGTTTGAGAGACCGCCGTCCTGCAACTGTGCCCCTGAGATTATTTTAATGAACGGATGAAGTTTAACACAAAGATAGCTTATGAGTTTGATTAACATACATTAACTCGTTTCTGCCAATCGACGACAGATGGCGTTACTCTTACCGGCGTAACAGTATACATAATATGTAAGTACAGATGAGGTTTGAGAGGCCGCCGTCCTGCAACTGGACACCTGAGATTATTTTTATTGAACGGATGAAATTTAACACAAAGATAGCTTATGACTTGGAATAACATACATTAAAACTTAGGTTACTTTGTATCCGGCCTATACTGGGCCTATTATCTACTAGGAAAAAAAAAAAAGATTGACTTCCACGGTGAAGGAATAACATCGTGTAGTAAAAATAAACCCGTAAAATTATAATTTGCGTAATTACTGGTGGTAGGACCTCTTGTGAGTCCGCACGGGTAGGTACCATCACCTTACCTATTTTTGCCGCGAAGCAGTAACGCGCTTCGGTTTGAAGGGTGGGGCAGCCGTTGTAACTATATTGAGATCTTAGAACTTGTATCTCAAGATAGGTGGCAGCATTTACGTTGTAGATGTCTATGGGCTCCGGTAACGGCTTAAAACCAGGTGGGCCGTGAGCTCGTCCACCCATCAAAGCAATAAAAAAAAAAAAAAAAGTGTGGGTGTGTGAGTGTCTACATACGGTAGAAGGTGAAACTTATAAAAAATAAAAATAATCGCAAAGGTCAACCACTCCGTAGTGCAGTGGAGCAGCTTCACTATGAGGGAACCGCCTGGATGATTATGGTATTCCTGCGCCAGGAAGTATGATATAGCAAGAGAATTACGAGGACGACTATCAACTGTGTTACATCTTGTCACCGCGATTCAGGAATTGTTGAATTTACGTGCAG